CTGGTACCTTCATCGCTTCATAACACGAAGTGGTCCTGTGTGCCAGGGAATTCGCCTTGCATGGGAACCAAAATCATTCATACAGTTTGGTGAGAAGAGTAAGAAGCCATTAATTTCTAAATTTCCCTCACCCCTATGCTAAGTATGTTCTTTGTTTCTTCATCTTCATCGATTTTATCAGCTTTCATGCAGGCCAAGAGCTTATCAATCCCTTTACCACTTCTTATATTTGCCTTTATCAAGGCATGATACATTTGTCTGTTCATCGGGATGACAGCCCTCAATGCCGCCACAAAAGCTTCTACATCTTGAACACTACCTTCATTACCCAGTCTACTCAAAATGTTTGCAATCACCTTTGGGCTCGGTTTCCATCCTTTACCTTCAACATGTAGAGAGAGGGCAGCCTTCATGCAATCCAAACCTTTTTCTGTCTTACCTTCAGTAAAATAACCTGCTGCCACAACTGCCCAACTGTTTGGGGTGGTAATCTTTCCTTTCTCCATCAAGTGTTCAAGCATAGCTTCTGCTTTCTCATATAATCCATTTTTACAGTATCCAATGACGATAGTGTTTGGTATGCGAACATCATAACTGTTGCCAGATGATTCCCACTCTTTTAGCACTTTCTCGGCTTTTTCAAGCTCACCAAGCTTCACCAAAGATTCCTGCATGGTGATGTAGTCCCTGTTCATATACCTCTTACAAGCACTTTTCTCTAAGTCCCATAATCTCAGGACCTCAGACTTATTTCCTAAACTTGCATAGAGCGATATCAGATGATTATACCCTATCCCATCTTTCTTATCTAGCCTCTCTTCTGATTTTCTTAAAACATCGTATGCCTTATCAATGAGGTTGGCTTTAATGTAAAAATTTGCAGCAACAGCATATGTATTCCAGTCCATGACAATGTGAGGTTGGCTCTCCATCTCTCTTAAAATTGTTTCCATTCTCTCAACATCAGATCTAGCACCATAGGAATTTATGCAGATTCTGTAGCTGAAGTTGTCAGGAAAGACTGTGTTTTCCTTCATCTCGGTTAGCACATCAGGGACCTTCTCATATTGCCCAGTATTTGTGTAGAGGCACATGATGTCATTGTAAGTCAAAGCAGATGATGCAAATCCCATCTCCTTCATTTTCTGTAAATGGGAGAGGGACTTGTCAATTTGGCGTTGCCGCACGTAACAATTCAGAAGAGCTCCATACGTCTTATCAGTTTTATCCTGGTCTTTTAAGTTATTAAAATAGTTTTCAGCAGATATAAACCCACGGACCCTGCCAATCAGATCCAACTGTACGGCAAGTTCACTTGCTGTGAAAACACATACACCTTTGCGATTCATCCACTCTGAAACCTGCAACCAAATTAAATATTCATCCACTCAGAAACCAGAAAGAATCAAGAAACAAGAAATTACAATCATACTTATTTGAACAGCTACTCTCTTCTAAGGATTTATCTCTTGAGTGTGTGATATAGCTCTCTCGCAGGCCAAAAAGCCCATAAGAGACTGCTCAAACACCCATTACTAACCAGTCTGTTAATATGAGTGAATATAGGTACAAACAACATTTTGTGATTGTAGAATTACGGTCTCCATAACAATAACAAAGTGTATCTTCCAACAGTGGATGCCGACAGAACCAAAAAAAATATTTAGTGAGAGCTATCCCTGACATTAAAAATTACACTGACTAAAGGATCAAAAAGGAAGGAAAGAGAAAAAAATGCCTTCAATCTAAATGACGGACAGTTTTTTCCATAGTAAACCTGATTATTTCATTCCCCACTTCTGCTTTCTGAATCAAAATCCAAATTCTTCTAAGATCTTGGACTTTTGCCAAATAAAAATAAGAAAATGCATCTTGGCTAAAAGTTTAAATTTTGACTTCTACAAATCTTGAGTACAATGTTACCTATATCCTGGGGCAAGGCCATTAACTATATCCTTATGCCTTAAAACCAATTTTGTTTTAATCCCATTCATGTTTGACGGTGATTTTGTTTTAATCCCATTCATGTTTGACGGTGATTTTAGATTTTGACACTGTTACAATTGGCTCAACAAACTGGAACCTTTTATCTTTATACAATTCCATTAATGCCTCTGCCTAGAACAAAAATCGAGCCAATCAATCATATAACTCCAACACAAAAGACTTCAAACGACAAAGAATAGCATTTTGATATCAAACTATTGAACCTAAAATTCTATAAATTAAAAGCTTTAACTTCTTGTCTTGTCTCTTATTTTCTCAGTAAAACAACAGAGCTAAAAAAATAAATTTTCAATTTCAGAAACCCAAAAGAATGCAAACCTCAAGGGCTTGAGTGAAGCGCTTTCGCTTACGAAGATCGTGAATAATGCGTTTAAGCTCCGCAACTCGAACTTTATTTCCATATTTGACCCAATTATCAAGCTCTGGTACTACACTTGTGTTGGGACTACCTAAAGGACTGATTGTTGAGTATAAGGTCAATTTATTGACCCTATTTGTGTAGTAAAATCTGCTAATAATAGACTTTTGGATCTGGTTTTTTATTAAGAGTTTCGAATTTGAAATCATACTGTTTAGGGTTTTTCAGCGGGAGCAGGGTTTTCGGTGTCGGGAGATTCGTTGCCTTCACAGGTTCTTTTATATGAATTTCTTTTGGCGTGTTTGCAACAACAAACTACATGTCGTTCGTCATTTATATAGTAGAATAACCTGTCGGATATATAAAAGCAGGAAACACGACATCTCATCCTTGACGTTATCTGCGTGTGGTTCTCGGAGCAGATAAATATACGGTACGCGGTTCATACACTTGACAGAGGAACGACATGTCATCACTCTAAAAATATAGCGACAATTCTTTTGAGAAACTTTTCAGGGGCATTTGGTTCAGGGAATGTTGGATTATTTGAATCTTATATTACCTTGAAGATTATTGAGAATTTTTAGGAAAATGTGTTTAATTAACTAGTGGGTATGTTATATTAATATGTTTGGTTATGGAGAATAAATTGGCAGGTATGCTATTTAAATTACTAAATTGCTTTTTTTTTTTTTAAAAAAAATATTAATATAATATTATTTTTATTATTAATATTTAACCCCTAATATTTCAGATTTAGCTAAAACACCCCGCTTATATAAAACTTTAATTTATGACAAAATCACCCCCACCCCTTGACGCCACCGCAAACCATCGCCAGAAGTCTCCGAAAGTCGTCGTGAGTAGCTCACCGTGACCACGAGGCTCTGATATGGCCGTTTCTGGCCATATCAGGTTAGATTTGACCGTTTCTAACCATATCAAGTTAGATTTGACCGAAAATGGCTAGATCTATTTTGGCTATTATCGGCCAGATCTGGGCGAGATATGGCCAATAAAGGCCAAGGGTCTAGTCGTTAACGGCTAGACCCATCAATCTGTCCGAAAATGGCTAGAATAAATCTGGCCATTTCCAGCTATATCTGCTCCCGATATAGCATTTTCGGCCATATCGGGGCCTCCCAGTCACGGTGGGCTGCTCACAGCAACTCCAGGTGACTTCCCGTGACGGCCGGCAGTGGTTTGGCTGGCGGCAGCAGGTGGGTGGGGGTGGTGGCTTGAGTAAGCTGAAATTTGTTTTGATTTCAAGGGTAATTTTGTCCAAAAAATTAATTAAATGGGGTGAAATGGTAAAAGCAAGATTCATGTAAATAAATTTAAAAACAAGGGCATTATTGTCCTAAAATTTTGTTAATAAGGGATAAAATTGTAATAAAAAAAGATTACCCAAGTAATCTAACAATACCAAAGAAAATAGAGGTAATTAGATTACCTCCAACATTACCAACAGTAGTCACTATTGGTATTTGAAGATTACCGGAATCTTATATTACTTGACAAACCAAACATGGTAATTAAGTAATATAAGATGACTTAATCCTAGTAATCTCACATAACCCCCAACCAAACGCACCCTCAGAGCAATCTGCAGGAAGTCACCCTTGTAAATGTAATAGCGACATGACTTTCATGTTCACTTTAGTCTTTAAGAATTGTTTTGTTCCATTTCAAGTGATTGCATCTTCATCATAAAACTTTGCTTCTTCAAGAGGTGTTGATGCGATAATTTGTACAAATCAAAGATACCTAACTGGCCTCAGAAGGGACAACGTAAGATGTACACGTAATTATTGGTAACTAACAAGGTTGCTAAAGTGACATAATAAAATAAAGAACAAAAGAGATTTTATAGTGATTCGGCGGTGTAGAAACGAAACCTACATCCATTGTTGTGCTATTATTGAGAGGTGTTACAAGGTCGAATGAGGTTACAAAAGAGAGTTCACAAGATAAATGAGGACATTCGATTCTTGCGACCTATTTTCTCTAAACACTCTAAAACAAGTCAGTGTATTTTTCTCTTTAACTTTACTAATACTGGAATCTTCTTGAAACGGAGGTTATGGACTCCTTCTATACTTGGCTCGTTTGACAGTGGTTGCGAGTGGATGTCACAGGGTTGCTTGCACGCATAATCTTCTTAATTAGGATCTGAGTCAGTAATTTTCATACTTGTGACAGGTCGAGTCATGCTAATGACAATTTAATCCATACTTTTGATAGTAATCACCTTGTGAGAGAAAACAAACGCTAATGAGACGACATGTGGGAGGATCTAGGCCATCGACACAACTTAAGGACGCGTGACACAAAACCCTTAGCTTCAATGCCCTATTAGATGCATGCAAAACCCATAGGCGGTTTTGATGTATTCATAATATTTTTTTGTTCTGTGCTGTACTAATGGTCTTTAGATTAATGGGTCTGGTTTTAATGTACTTTTATTCTTTTCTCCTTTAGATTTTATTAGAGATGCGCAAGTTTTGTTTAGAACAGGGATGCAGGGCGGAAAGAGTGAATCAAATGACTGACTGCAGGCAAATGAAATTGAGAATTCATAAACTCCCTCAACAAGCTACATCATTTAAATTGGTTATTTTGATTTATCAAGTAGTTAACACAACCTCCTAACTTTGTTTTCTTGTGCCAGGCAATCCAACAACTTAATTTCCAGTGCTTTAAATTGAGCAATTTGCATCTCCAGTTGCAGCTTTTCTTTCCTTAAATTCTCGTTCTCCTCTACTAGTAACAGACGATTGTCTTTCTCCATGGCTACTTGTGCATTAATATTGTTCCCTTCACTAGAAGCCTTGAGGTATGCTGGAAACACGCTCGGATCACTTTTCTTTCTACTAATCTCCACTAGCATATGCCTGCAACCTTTCTGGAACTTCTCGTGCCTAAATTCCCATTGCTTGGGTGACGTTTTCTTGAATCCCTGTTTCTAATCGTGGGTCAAAATGACGGTAAAATATAATAACATATATTATTAGCACATGTTTGCCATTAAAATTGGCAGTATGATCAAGTTGAATCTTGCCATTTTTTATTCTTATACTTCAATATAATATATTTTGTCTAAGGTCAAGGTAGTTGAAAAAAAAAAACAGCAGTCCATGCATCATTCTTTTTCTAGCAGATATCTTTGAAAAACTCCTTGCTCAAAGGAATGTTAAAAACAATAGTTTTTTCTGCTCCAACATGCGGATATTTTGTTGAATATAAGCTCACCTTTTTGGAATACTGACTTCTCCTTAAGCAACTGATCAAAGTAAATACTAGCCTGGATTTAATTTTCAAAGAGCATTTTGAAGATGTGATGGTTTAGATATTAATGAGTATTTCTCTAAATAATTTTGGCATTAGCAGCAAAATGTTCCTCCATCAAAGAATATGTGACGTTCAAAATATTCAGTGATTCTGTGCATTATTAGTTATTAAAGAAAACATAGTACTCACATAGGTATTAAGCTGGCGAATGAAGCTAGAAAAATTGTTGTGCTTGAAGAATCTGGGCAGCATGAGCTCGGAGAACTCAGCCGGAGACCATACTATAAATCCAGTTCCATCAGCATTCCATGAAACAATCTTCTTTTTACCATATTCTTCTTCAACATCTGGACCTCCATCTCCTTGTTCAACCAAATCAAACGTCTTCGACAAGAATGGAGCAGGATTTTTTGTCTTTGGAGACGGGCCGGCTGAGCTTCTGCT